GTCAAAGATCGAATATCTTTGCCTTTCAGTTCCAGCCTTCCTCGGACTACTGTCCTGTTCAGTCTTGCTCTTATGTACTTAGAAAAAAAATAGATAAATTTTCTCTGGCAGCAGCTGAGTTTGTCTAATGAAGTCTCTCATGGATCTTGGTAGAAGAATACAGCTGTCTGTGGAGGACTGGGGAGCTGCTCGGCTGTGGTACCAGCAGCATCACTGAGCTTTGGGAAGGGGGAGAAGGAGCAGCAGGAGTGGGCTTGGAGCCATAAAACACCATCAACCTAGGAGCTGGAGGTGATGGACCAAGGCAAAGGTTACCCAGGTGGCATCTTGTGCTCTGACCACCTCTTGAACCAGTTGGTTCATTCCTAAAGATTGCTTAGAGATTGTATTAATCTGTGTCCAGAGCTTGAGAGCAAAGAGGAGCGTGTCCTTGCAGAGAACCCTGTGAGGACAACACCATGCTGCCCTGTTAAGAGCCAGGAGAGTTGATGGGGAAAGGTAGCATACTTTAACGCAGTAACCTTAACTTGCTTTACTTGTGATGCAGAGGTGGACCAGGCTGCGGTGGGCTTTGTGCCCTGGGCTTAGAGTGGGGCAGAAATGGTGTCATTGTGAGCAGTTGTTTGCAATAGTAATGCATCCCCAGTGCCAAGACACTGCCTTTCGGTAGCGAGAAGGTCACTTGGGACTAACCAAGAGCTGTTTTGCAACCTGAGTAGAAAGCTGTTGCTCGATTGCGAGGTGGGAGCGTAAAACAGAGCCTCGCTAAGGCGTTGCTTGTGTTGCTACAAGTGAAACCTTCCCTTTGGAGAATGCTGTGGTTCTAGAGAAGGAGATTCATTGATGCTTTGCAGCACAGAGGTTGCTTTCATGTTCAAACTGATTTATGGAGCCTTTCTGAAACAACGTAATTTCTGTCATCATCACATTCTTGCATTCCTTCTGATTGTTTCAAGTAGAAACAGGAGAAATTTTATAATAGCCATTTCATCTGCGTGTAGTAACTTTATATTCAAATTTGCAAAATAAGAAACAGACACTGGAATTACACCACCAGTTAGCAGATATGGTAGCAAATGCTTTTAAATGACTGAATATGAAATTCATATTTGTTAGCTTTCAAAAAAGCAAGTTTTCGTTTTGTTTTGACAAACAAAGCCTGTGCATGATGTCATACTATGTATTTCTGGAACAATCAGGTTTTGTAGCAAGAAATGCATCCACAGTCTTGTGTGTCTTCTTGGCAATCTATGGTTCAAACAACTTTATTAGGAATAAAACTAGTTTGAATAAAAATGTTAAATGAGCATTTAAATCATTCTTGTCTTTTTATAAACAAAGCACTTCTAAGTTACTAAGCAGTTAAGAGTAGATATTGGTAACTGCCTCCAAATATGACCAGTTCTCTCATAGAAAATCTCTGTTGAATTCATCAGAATAAATGCTTGTTGTCTTTTTTTCTAATATCCAAAGCCTACACCGTCTTGGGTCAAGAGAAATTTTAACTATAATCTTTTACTTAATGTCAATGTCTTTTTCGGTTTGCCATGAAACAGAAACTGTATGAAATTTGAGGAATTTGTGCTTGCCCAAGGGTTTCCTGGAGCTTACAGTTTTCTGCCCAACTCTATAGTTGCTGCTTGAAACTCAAAGGTGGCAGTGGATGGGGTAACTACATACAAATCTTATTAGCTTCTGACTTTTGAAAGTTGGCCCCCTATTCTGTAAGGGAAATTATTTTGCTTTGGTTTTGGTTTTGTTGAATGTGATCTTACATATTCTAGCGTGTATCCACACTATTGGGCTGGGAAAACTTCTTCATACTTTTTAAATCAGTATTTTAATTTTGTCACCAATATGCTTCTTGTGTACTGGAGGAAATGGTTGAAGCAGTAAAAGGGTCATGAAGACTGTAGTAAAAATAATCTGTGCAATATTGTGCTTTCCATCTCAAATCTCAAAGTCCTTTGCCATAGTCAGGCAGCAATTTGTCATCAGGGTACAGCAATGAGAGCTCAATCTTCTACATGTGAAAAATCAGCTGTAAAGTCATGGGAGCTGAGCTAATATTTCTGTGTATTACTCCAGTGAGCTCTTCCTAACCCAAGCTGGTCCTTTCCAGCACTGTCACTCCCTCGTGGGGATTTTCATCTCCTCTTCCTCTCAAACGTTGGAGAGCATCTATGGATGATGAAGCATTGACTTGTAACCATGCATGCTCATGAGTGAACCACATATTTTTTTGATACAATGAGAAATACTTCCCCCCCAAAAAAACGCACTGAGCTGTAACAATCACAACCCAGCTTCTTATTTTTAAGTCTTTATAAGAAAATAAATGGGATAGGGGAATACATGTAGCTTTCTTACAAAGACGAATGATCAACATGGATTGCTTTGGGAATCAACAGATGACATCCTAAGCAGTGGGACAGATCTCAAAACGCTTTTGAATATTACAATCTATTTGTGCGTTACTGCTCAGATTTGACTGTCTTTTCTCTGGAACTGGTTATGACTCCATGAGCTAAAAGTAAGGTAAGCTCATTCACTTCGCAGATATTTGTTGTAGAGCTTTTTGCAGAAATATCCTCATTTCAACTCTGCCGAAACTCGGTTCTATTAAAAAAAATAAATATATTCTTCAGAATCATTTAGGAGTCTCTCAAGTGTGTGGGGCACCATTAAAGGTTGACTTTGCTCATTCTTGAGATAAATATCTATTTTTGTGCTTCATATTAGATGAAGCAAACATTTATGAAAAACAATAATAAAAAATAAATTCACTTTTAAAGGAAAGTTAGCCAATACAGGGAATGGAATTGGAGTCCATTTGGAGCTAACAATAAATCAACAACCTCAGAATGTAGTTCTCAGGGTTATTTATTAGCCCAGAATTAGTATATTGTGTGTTTTAGTATTTCTTTGATGGCTTTACCGTGTGAATATAGGACAATGCATTCTTGGCAGACCTCTGATAGGTACTAAACGTGCAGTATCAATGGCTAGCATGAATATGCAGCATCATGGATGCCATATCCTTACAATCCTATTTGCCTTTACACATTGTCATCTACCTGGACTTGAGCAAAGCATTTGACACTGTCCTGCACAGCATCCTTGTCTATAAACCAAATTAATTGGCACTATCTATTTTTGCAAGCATTCGAGGCCCAGTTTGGTATCTAACAGAGCCAGTAAGTGCTGACCTTCCCTCTTGCTACATATAGACCCACAGAGAGCAAGTCAGTGATGCCTTGGTGTTCCATTCCACTAGGCGTAAATAGCGGAAGGTGATCTTTTTAATTCTCTGGGCATTACTGAGAGTCATACAAATGACCAAGAGGCTTGACTAAAAACACAGCTTTATTTGAAATGGCGGTGGAATTACAAATGATGATAGCTTTGGAACTTCATAACATTACTATTAGCACAGTGGGATTGGAAGTGGATATTGACTTGGCAAAAAGTTTCAGCAACGCAATGTCTGATTTCACAAAACCACAGATTATAGCAGGTTGACAAACATGTAACAACATTACCCTTATGTACCAAAAAAGCCAGAGGTAGAGCCAGAGAAGCATTAAGAGAAAAGATATCACCACGCTTGCATCCAGTGGTGGTCTCTGAGCTGGTGGTCAGGGTCCTCCAGTGGTGGGTGCGTGCCTGGTGGTCAGGGTCCTTTGGTGGTGGGTGCACACAGCAAGGAGCTGGCCCCTTCTCCTTTTATACACTTTGGGTGCCTGTCTCGTAGCTTCCTGAAAATTCTCAAAAATGAGTCAGTGGGCATGGGGGGTTCTTGGTGGTCTCACTATCGCCCCCCAAAGGCAAGTGCTTAACTTCCTTGCCTAAGTGACATAGGTGGGTTTTGCAAGTGGACACCCTGCCTCCACAGGGTTTCACTGGGTCTTCCACACTCCCTTATCAAGATGAGGAAGTTCCCAAAGCCCAAACCCCATTTAGGAGTTTGCTTAATTCGATCATCTTTATCAGTTTCTCAAGAAGGATGTTTGAGACAGTTACCCACTCTGGCCTGGGGATGTTTGTGACAACTGCCCACCTCAGCCTGGGGCTGCACATCTGGGGGCTGGTGTAGCTGGATCGCTTAACAGTCTGCTTCTCAATTTCGATTCAGAAGAGGCTTTTTAGTGACCGATAACTTTTGAAATTTTCCCTTTCCTGTCTGGCACTTTATTTGCTACAGCCTACATAATAGTCGTAGGCGCGATAACCCCTGTGTACCCCCATGCATGTACTCTGCTTCTCATCGTGACGTCACTTGTTTGTGCACAAGGTGGTGGGGCTTTCTTCAATTCCTTCCCTTCTGATGGCTTTTGTTCCTCAGGTGTCCTTTGAAAGCCCTAGATTGGTCCTCAGCTACTTTCTTTCCATTCAGCTTTTGCTTTTAAATCTCCCTCATATGTCTCATCTCGGCACAGTATTGGTAAACAGATAAAGCAGACTTGCTCTTGTAAGAAGAATTGTTTGGAAAGGAAAGGTACGGTGAGATGGGAGTTAAATAATAGCCACGGGTCAAAGTAATTTTCCTTTTGATAATAGCTGTGTTACTCGTGGATGAGTGTTCTTGGGGATTAGTTTATCAGTGAAAATGAGCAAAATTACTCCATGGTTTTCCTGTGTGGTGTTAAAGACCTAAATATCTTCCTTTTTTAACACAAAAATTGGCTAAAATTTCACCTGAAAGTGTAATACAGGGAACAAAGTTTGCGTCGAGCTTTTAGTGTACTAGTAAGTATTTCCTGACTGTACAGATACTCCACTAAGAAAACTGAAGTGTTGAAAGCTTATATATACAACAGTTGTTTATAATGTTTTTCTGACTTTATGCTCTCTCCTTGATAATACGTTTAATTGGTTTTCAAGCTGTAGGACTCCTGGTGTTTTTATTCACAGTATAATTGAATATGTTTTAAAACTTAAGTCTGAAAGAACTTGATTTATCTTTTAAAATCGTCTTTTGGTTCTTTTCTTCCTCACAGATGGGAAGGTTGAAGTGACGAAAGAAGGCGTGAAGCTGTGCACCATGGGACCTGGCAAAGTCTTTGGGGAGTTAGCCATCCTCTACAATTGCACCCGAACAGCAACTGTCAAAAGTAAGATAATTTTTGAACTTTGATGTTGAATGACTTTGGATTTCATTTGGAAGTAGGGTTCTTCTCATCTCTTCTTTGGAGTTGCAGCCTCTGTTAGATGTTCGACTTTCTTAATTAAACTCTTTAGGGCATGGATTTTAGTATGGAATTCAGCCACTGTGAGCAGGAAGAGGATGGAAAAAAAGTGCTTCACTGGATTCTTTTGCTCAGGTTTGTTTGTGTGGGGAATCTCCTACATTAATACAGCTAATACCGTAGCTTTCTTTACAATTTCTGCTGAATCTTGTGATATGGCTGTTGCTTAGAAGAGCATATCTGAACCTTGTAAGTGTAAGGCTTCAAGGGAAATTCTGTAAGTAAAGCTTATGCATTTTTTCAGGATGAGTCATTATTTTCCCCCTAAACTGACTAAACAAAATTGTGAAAAAAAACCTGGATGACACTGATCTCATGCTTTCAGTCTTTGGTGCTTCTTCTCTAATGTAGTTTCTTTTATGAAAGTTCTGGACAAAAGCCTAGGTTGTACAATAAGTAGAGCAAAATCACATTGCTACCTGCAACATGAATATTTTTTAATTTATTTTCAGATTAATAGTTGAGATTTGGGATACCTGATACCACAGTCGTCCTTGATCTTGAGGATAAGATTTTATGGTGACATCTTAAGCAGAGAGGTTTTATAGGAGATGATAAATGGTTCTGTGGTTTAAAGATGCTGGAGGGGAGAAGTTAGGATGGTACAGATGGGATAGAATAATGTAAAGAAGTGGTACCAAAATAATGAGGCATGTGAGTCCCTGTTCAGAAGAAAGCCTTTGAGAAATACCTAATTTTCCTTCAAAAAGAGAGAGAAAGAAAGAGAACAAATGGGCAGAAATGACAAAACAGGAAAAGATAGCTAGATTTTTTGTGAAGAAAAATGATGTTCTCCATAATCCCAAAGAATTTGACTGATGTGCTCTATTTTCAACTGCACAAACCTTTCCTTTTTACAAGTACTGTTTATTGCGAGTAAATTCTGACAACACAGTCAGTTCATCAGTGGCACAGTTTATGCTTTGGAGTAATCCAAATGATCAGCAAATGCTTTGAGGTAATCCTGAATCATGTAGCAAATGTGCATATCGCACAAGTCACACCTAGTCCCACGGGGACAGCCCCCGCCCGCCCCAGGGGCCTCCAGGCTGCTTCAGACAGTGTGTTGGGCTCCTTTTCTGTGAGATGCTTTATCTCCTTCCCCATAGTCCACCAAGGGGAGTATGAGTGAGAATGGGAAGCGGGTGTTGATCCACTGTCTCCTCCCCCATATCTTCCTGCCCTGTGGGTGCATTATCCATGTAGCTGTACAGCCGGTTTTTCTGTCCGATTAAAGGTTTGGGGGACTGATGATGGCGATGAATTCAGATAAGCTACAGGCTTATGTGATAATATGGTTAAACAAAGTTGGAAAGCTTGGAGAAAGACAGGAGGTGGTCGAATCCCAGGAAAGGAAATGAGAGGATAGTTATTGTTTAGTTCCCCTTGGAAAAGCAGTGCTAAAAGGGTCCTGATCCAGTGGTACCATGATCACTACATCATGTAATCCTGCGTAGTCACACTGTTCTTGTGCAAACAGGTTGAAATGGATAAAAACACAAGTGATTCCAACAGCAAATAATACTGGCAGCAGTTTTTAGTATGTTTACTATTACTCATTTTTTCAGGTACTAAGTCTCTTCTCTTGAGCAAAGTGTGACAACTGGCACTTAGCTTTGCCAAATCTTTTTTTCCAGGTTAAGTTGGGGGCAATAGTAAGGTCACTAATGTGACCTTCCTCGGAGAGATCTTTCTTTAAGAAGGAGGTGTCTGCATTCATTGTTATACTCTGTTCCTTTCCTACCAGCATCTTAAAATTATGATAATTTTGCATTTTCTTCTGCTGGTAGCTGTGGGGCGTGTAGTCTCGTTTCCAATGCCAGCAAGTGACTTTTAGGTATTTTCCTTCTCATTATTGCACAAATAAGTAGCAGTTGTGATTGTAATTGGCTTTATATCCTTTCAAGTGTGGTGGCACACAAGGTCACAGCATGACTTTGGGGAACTGTTTCAGCTAGACCTAGCTGAACAGAGGTCTTGGAGATGTGCAGATCAATTTAGGACATGTTATTGACTTAAATTGTTGCCACTGCTGCTAACAAAGAACTTCAAACATTTGTTTGTTCTTTTGGCTAAATGATAAATAAATGTCATAAATATCTAGAAAGCTGAAGACTAGGAAATATTCCGTTAGGTCTAATGAGAACTTGGATCATTACAAGGTTTATTTCAAGAGAAATGAACAATTTATGATTGTAATGAGAGAAGACACCTAGTGGACATTGATGCTGGAAAAGGTGAAGATGAGTCAAAGGGCATCATTCAGCTTTCATTTAGAGAAACACTTTAAGTCAGGGCTTCTGAATTTTCAGGAGATAGATTTGCATTACCTCCATAGTATCAGAAGTGTTTTTTGATGTGCCTGCCAGTACTTCATTACAAAGTCATTAAGTATTTCGTTTTGAAAAATGACGTTGCAGCAAAGACTGAATGAAGGATGCATTATGGTAGTGTGAAGCTCAGCACAGTGCCTTTGGACCGTAATGATGTGTCAGCTGTGTTGACATCTCTTGCTGTAACTTGTTTGTATGTGGACTCCTGCTTTGGCTTTTTAAATAATAAGAGATTTTAGTGTCATTACTCACTGCATTAGTCTACACAGGCTCTTCAGCTGGTGCTCGCTCTATAGGAGATTGCAGATTTCAAGGGATAAATCACTGTAGAAAGGACTGTCTTTTAAAAAGAATTTAGAAGACTTTAAATTTTAATTATTCTGATCTGACTTCTGCTGGTTCATTATGACGTCTTTAATAAGACAACTCAGGTCTTTTGAAAGCCTGCCCAAAGAGAATTATTATACTATTTTTTCTGTTATTACAGTCTTAAGTAAAAGCGGGGTGGGGTCTAACCAGCGCCTGGGAAGAAAGAGCAACCAAACCCTTGGGTGTTCAGAAGCACTGAGGAAGGTATGGCCACATCTCATGAAATGGGGCCTCATCTCTAAGATAGCTGCTTACGATTTTTTTCAAGTTTGACACTCCAAGTATGTCGCTGTCATGGCTTTCTAAAGTACTGGTGTTCACAGATTGACTTCCAATACATATACAGCTAAATCCAAACCAGCAGCTAATTTTTTCCTCTTTCAGTATTAATTATCCAGAGTTCTCAAGTGCCTAAATGCAAAACTTGATGCTACTTGCAGTTTAAAGCAGAATCACAGACTTTGCTCTCTGATTCCAACAAATAATTAAAAGCAGTGCATGAGAATAAGGAAAAGAAAACTCCGCTCATTGTGAATGAATTATCTCACAGCTAAAATGATGTGTCTAATCCCCTGGGAGAGTGGTGTTCTCCAAATACACCTGTTTACCCATGTGTCTCGAATTAATATTGTCTCCTGTTTGAGGAAGCTAGTTGAGTGTCCTAAAATAGTAAAGGCAGTAAGCTGTGTTTCAGATCAGTCAGAAATAACATTACTGACTCAGCAAGTGATCCGAGTATTAAAAATATGCTGGATTTTGTTCTTGTTTTTGTTTACCTCTGCTCTGGCTGGCTAATTTCTCACTGTAACTCTCTGCCACCTATGTAGGTTAATAAAAGGATGAACACCAGTGTGTCTGAAATCTCTGCCTTGGTTGCTTGTCAGCACTGAGGCAAACATGGGCGTGCGGGTGACTTGCTGCGGTGGGAAGCCTGCTGCCCTTCTCTTCCCACGCACAGGTATAGCATGAGTATGAGAGTCCAGTGATGGTAAAGGAGGCGGGCCAAGAGATGTTCAAATGCACCTTGGCTCTACCCAAGCCATGCAGCTCAATATTAGACTCTTAATTAGGAATATTTCCTGTTCACCAAGAAAGGATTTCCTGTTCACCAAGGTAGCAAACGGTATTTGCAAGTGAGTTATTGCAAGAGTCAGAAACAAGCAAAAAGTTATTAAAATTCAAATGTGGTTTTGTTCATTAGTAACATGGGCAATAGAAGGAACTATGAGATGTCAGAAAAAAAACCAAAAAACACCAAAAAACCCCCAGTTGAATTTGAGTTGTATATAAAACTTTGTAATTCTTCATTTGATAACACAGAAGATCTTCTTACTAAGTGGAAATTTGTCTGCTGTTAATGTTGTGCAGTAGCTCTCATTCCTCCTAAAGAAAAATCTGGTAGGCAGAGTTAAGTAGTATTTTTGCAGGCAGTTTTGGGAAGCACTGATCTCCTGAAAGGAGTGGATTCTTCATGCACTAAGGATGGCCTTATCATCTGAAATTATATTCTCTCAGGGACAAAATTAGAATAAAAACTTCCCACAAATACACCTCTATGCAAGGCTGCAGATTTCAGTGGAGTTACACTCAATACCAGTCCATGTTTTTAGGAAAATAATATTAGTGAAAAAAAGAAACCACAAGCTGAAGTTGTTAAACTGTAAATTATGTAAATCTTTTTTTCTGGTGAAAATAAGGGGGTCTCCTCAAAAGCCAGCACAAGAGTTTCTCAAGCATCTCTGCTTATCGGCAGTGCTAATTGTACAAAACTCAGTGCTGCATAGCATGATTAAGGCAGTAGTTTATCAGTTTGTTGCCAAGAGTGGATGAGTTTGAATTTTCTGACGCTAACTTTACAACCATCTTGGGAACGTGAATAAATTGCAAGGAAAAATAAGGCAACAGTCAGTTGCCAATTAAAACTGCAGAGACTAGCTAGAAGCCTTTGAGAAGGACGTAGCCTTCATATGTTCTCTTCTAACAATTTTGGGAGCTAGTGTAAAGGCTGCTCAGATCTTCTTAAAACAATCACACATTTTGGAAAGAAGTTGACTTTAGTTATTCAGCCATTTGACTAAAACCTTCCTGATATTACTTACAGATATGAAACCCAGGGTGGCCAAGCCAGAGATGATCAGGTTGCAGATCAGTCTGGTGTGCCTG